AGGGAACAAAAACAGGACAGAGTCTTAAAGCAGAAGAAAAGGAGACAACAATCGCTTGTGAGCTAAGGAAAACTAAAGAGCACCAAGGCTGTAAAGTGACCATTCAAAGACAGCAGTAGGACACAGCGGCCAGTGAGGGACAAATATCAGATGCGGCCATACAGATGCGTAGGGACGCTCTACGTGTCATTCCGGACGTCAGCCCCCTTTACCCAAAGTCCCAGGTGACGCCTCTGCACTCTCGTCCACTAGCGCCCTACCTCGCCGATCTCTCCCTGGGGCCAGCAGCATCAGTGCCAGTGCCAGCGCACAAACTTTGTCAGGCATCGCTGCTGTCACAGGAGGGAATGAAGGCGTCGCTGAGCCTGGCCCATGGGTGCAAGGAAGATAGGGCCACCGCAGCCTCTCAGCCCTCGAATCACAGGACTTTCTCAATCCACTCTCGCTGATTTTCAAGGTCGCTGCCTGTTCTCGCTCTTGGACGCAGCGCAGTGGTCCTTTCCAGGGACAGCGATACAAGTCTGGTGACTCCGCCCTCCCAACCCTCCGCCTGCTTGCAAGGAGGCCATGCCCACCTTGTCCCAGGAGAGGGCAGTACTCCCTGCAGGTCCTGTTGTGGCACCTTTGATGTCAGCAGCAGTCGCACATCCAGGGATCAAGTGCCCAGATACAGCTTGGCACCTTGAGTCTCAATGTTCTAACAAAGTCTTTAAGAAAACGTAATGATCCCAGAAACTGTTTACATGCACCCCCAATAAAGAAGCCTTGAAAAGTTCTGTTGAAAGTGGCAGTGCCCTGATCATAAGTGCAGATAGATTTTTAACCCAATAACCGGAGTTGCTTGCTTGCTCCCCCAAGGATCACATGCTTCTCAGAAGCTGCTCCTGCCACCTCAGGCCTTAAGAGACGAAGGATGGGAGGAGGGAGAAGAGATTAATGTTGAAATGGTAGTCGTTCTCTTCCTCTATCTCTATGACATGTTTTCAAAAGTGAATGGGGGGACATTAGACTTTGTCCAAACACATGAGGTCGGTCATTGCATATTTGCTGATGATTCCCAGAGCTTTGCTGTCTAGTAGTGGCCCAGTTACCCAGGATTCTTCAGCACATGGTTACATGACTCCCAAGGTTGCTCTGGGGATGGTCTCCAATCAGAAGTTGTCTTCAGATGTGAGATTGCCTCTGCAGAAGGAATCTCCACCCCACAACCCCCCACATACTTTTTTAAAAAACCTATTCTACCACCTTTTTTTATGTTATTAAATGAAACCTCACTTTTCTAGTTTTTCTTTGGCAGTCTCAGTTCTCGAGTCCCCTTATCCATCATGCTGGACTTGCGCTCAAAACCTATTCCTGAGGAGAAAGAAGAAACTGATCAACAGAAGGCAGTCCTGCTGGGTGCCAGGGTTCAGGACACAGTTCCACCTATAGATTTGGAAGACTGAGGCTTGGACTAGGCATGTTGATAAAGACAGGAGGTGCCCAAACGCATAAAAAAGATCTTTTAAAATTCATTTATAATTTTTGTTATTTGAAAGAGAAATTACCATTCAAAACCTGTATTCAAAAGTATAAGTAAAAAAATCATTTGTGGTACAAAACTGGTATAGAGTCCCCTTTAATATGCAGAGGAGGCACCCAATCTTCTAGAACAAAAATGAATTAAAACTTTGGTGGGAGCGGGCAGTTGGTATTCATCTTAAAGTCTAATTGTGGAAGAACAATTTAATATAAACAGGATGAAATCACAGAGATTTTTAGTGTATGTCTTTTGCTTCAGCTTATAAAGCCTATTTGAAATGAAGTAATAGCTATAATCAGGATTAAATCTTAACGGGTTGTTTGTAAATTCATTGTTCAATAATATCTGTAAAAATGCCATCAACTTTTATATTTTCTTGGAGGACATCACTTACCTAACTTCTAACAAATGATGAGCATGCAGTTTAAATTATAGTAGGTCTCATTTTTCCCTTCCATTTTTGATTGATGAATATCAGTTAATGAGGTTACAATAGACTTGTAACAAAGAACCAGTTTTCCTCCATAAAAGTGAGTTGAGCTGGAAAAAAAACTTAAAAAACAAAATTAAGAAATTGTTTTTCAAATCTCAGTGGAAATTTTATGTAAACTAGTTTTGGGTCTGCAAGAATATACTGATTAAAAATTAGTTATAGGACTGTGTGAAAAGCAAAAAGTAATTTAAATGATGTTTTAGCATATCTAATGAGGTTCGTGAAAAATTGGTATATAATTCAAAATTTTTAACTTTTATTTTTGAAAAGGAGAAAAACAATAGATGCATAGTATTCTAATTATGAATACCAATGATTCTTGTGAAATGCAGTAAATATCGACAAGAGAGAAATAATATAGATGGTCTGAGGGAAGATGAAAAGAGCACAATATAAGTTGAATGAAAAGAAAAGCCTGTCAAAAGAAGATTTCAAATGATGATTTCCTTGTATAAGGAAATAACTCAGCTCTTATCAAATCCATTTTTGAAGTGATGGTGAACTTGTCTGGGTGAATACCCCAATTTCAAGGCAAGAAAAACATAGTGCTTAAGTGCACAAATCCTGAGGTCAAGACACCTGGGTTCTAATCTTAGGTCTGCTACCTCTTTACTGGCTGTGTAACCTTAGATGGCACACTTAACCCCTCTTAACCTCATTTTTCTTACAGTGAGAATGATGGTAATAATAACTACTCAATAGTTTAAGAAACAAAGGTGCGTGTATGGTGGGGGCGAGTACAGAGGAGAGGTCTGCAGAAAGAGTACTTAGATAAGTGTCTGGCACAGAATACATAACATGAATGTATATAATAATTTACTGTTAAAAAAACAAAGGTGCAATACTATATAATTATGCTTTTTTATAACATTTTTATATAAAGGTGTATCATTTTTCAGCATTATCCTACTACAGTGTGCAGTATAATTTGGAGTACCTTAATTGAAAAACAGATTTATATAAATTTCTTTGACACATCTTTTTTTTTTTTTGAAGGGAGGATTGATAGAAATACTATCAGGGAAGAAGATGGTGTCACCAAATCAATACTTGAGCTTCACAGATTAATGTATTGGCTCTGAGTTTATATTCAGAATATCATCGCTCCCAGACAGAGACACTAAATGGAACAGACATTTTACTCCCAACTGCAAATTATCTTTTATTAATAAGGAGTCAACTAGAGACTCGATATAGTAAAAAATATTCAATGAGAATATTCATTAACTGTTAATTTTATAATGTCTATTGTGGAATGCCTCTAACAATGTGGATAAAGTGGGAGAGGGTAGCTGGATGACTGGCAAGAAGCTGGTTATAAAAATAAATGTTTCTACATCCATTTCCGTAGCAGTGCTATTCACAATAGCTAAAATGTGGAATAAACCCATGTGTCCATTAACACATGAATGGTAAACAAAATGTGATATATCCATATAATGGAATATCATTCAGCTTTAAAAAGGAAGGAAAATTCTGACACAAGCTACAATGTGGAATAAACTCGAAGACATTATGCTAAGTAAAATAAGCCAGTCACAAAAGGACAAATACTATATGATTTTACTTATATGTAGTACTTAGAGCATTCAAGTTTGTAGAGATAGGAAGTAAAATGGTGGTTGCCAGGGGCTATGGGGTGAGGGCCATGGTGAGTTATTGTTTACTAGGTAAAGAGTTCCATTTGGGGAAGATAAAAAAGTTCTGAACATGGATGGTGGTAATGTTTGCACAACAATGTGAATGTAATTATTGCTACTGAAGTGTAAATTTTAAAATGCTTAAAATGGTAAATTTACGTTTTGTATAGTTTGCCACAATAGAAAAAATAATTTTTTAAATAAATCTTTCACACATGAGCCAGAAAGCAAGCCCTTTATATAAACAAATCTCAACATCGTTGACTCCAAAGAGGTCTCTTGGAACTGTTCAGAAGAGTAGAAATAGTTTGATCTCTGATTAAGTTTACTTTTGGACATAAATTCATAATTATAGAGATGACAAACTGATTATATATCAATTAGCTATGCCAAACCACATAGATTGCAACATGGTGATATAAACTTTACCAACTAAGCAGTTTTCCTGTCTTAGAGATCAGAATATTTTACAGAAGACTGAGAAATAACTTTTTGAAGATTTTGTTTTTTATTTTTATACAATAAAAGCAACATTTAAAGATAGTCATTTTAATAAAGAAATTAACTTGTTTCAACTTAATATTTTCCACAATATGATTTAAAATGAGATTGGAATATTCAAGTTCCTTTGAATGGATTTGGAAAAGATGTGTATTTTCCCTTTCATCGGCCCTCTATAGACATAAGCCATACTGTTTGCATTTAAAGTATATATTATAAAATACCTTTATAACTGAAATGTTAAGCTAGTTAGAATCATGATTACACCTGAATGTTATTTAGATTCTTCTAGAAGCCTTCAATAAAATGTTGTAGCAGGTGGTAAAGCTGTGCAACATTTCTGTTTTTGTTTATATGATTTATGTTACCATCCTTTTCTAAATCATGAAGTATTTGAGCCTCACAAGTATAACTTGTAATACATAATTAGTTAAATTCTATGACTATAAAGGAATGTTTGATGATTTTGGAGCAGTAACATTAATAGTTAGATTTAAAAAATGATCTAATAGATGTCAGTAAATTTAGTTTTTGTCCAACTGTCCCCAAAACCCACCCTAATCCAATTTGAAATAAGTCAGAATTTTACCAGATGCAGTCATTTTTTAAAATAGCTTTATTGAGATGTAATTTACATAACATAAAATTCACCTGTTTTCAGTCATTACCACAATCTAATTTTAGAACATTTTCATCATGCCAATTTATAGTGGCTTTCCGTTCCAATCTCCAATCTTAAGCAACAAATAATCTTTTTTATGTCTCTATATATTTGCCTTTTTGGACATTTCATAAAAATAGAATCGTGTGTTCTTTTGTGACAGTCTTCATTTACTTTTTGAAATCATCCACATTGTAACTTTATCAGTACTTTATTCCTTTTGATTGGCAAATAACATCTCATTGTATGGATATACCATGCTTTATCCATTCATCAGTTAATGAACATTTTGGGTTGTTTCCACTGTTTGGTCATTGTGAGCAACGTTATCACGAACATTCAAGTGTAAATTTTGTGTGTACATGCATGTTCCATTATTTGGAGTACAGTGCTAGGAATAAAGTTATTGGGCCATATATGTCTATGTTTCATTTTTAAAGACATGTCAGTATTATTTTCCAAACAAACTTACTTTAAGAAGGAAAGTAAATTTGTTTATAAGTGTGTTGT